CATCCATTGTATTCGATATTCAAAGCATGTAAGAGATATTTACATTCCTAATATACCGCTGTCTTTTTTTTTTCAGACAATGTGGGTAACTCCAACGAGGTAGATGATCCATTCAAGTTGAGTGATGTCAGTAAGTGCATCTCCATAATCTTCGCCAAACCAAAAACTAACGAACGTTTCTTTTTCCAGTTGATGTAATAGAGACAGACACCGTATTGACAGATCTCGACAATCCCATTTTCAACGGAGATCTATCTGAACCAGTTCCTTCTACAACCTTCGGGGAAGGACAAGGATTGGTTCTTCAACCCCGACCAGCGATACCTACAGTGCCGAATAACCTTGGGGCAGTCCCAAAGGGGGGAAGAGGGGAAAAACAGCTGCAAGATGATTTTGGCACGGAGAACGGAGAAGGTATACTGATTCCGGAGCTTATGATGGCGACACCGGTTACCCTTCCACCGAAAAGGTAAATATTAGTGTTTTTATTATCACTAAAATATTCATAAGAATCAAGGTTATGTTACGTTTGAAGAAAACCAAATCCGGACTGGAGTTATTGTGCTAAGAATGACGCCAATTTTGTTATTTTCAAATCAATGGATCAAATACAATTCCATGTTTGAATTGAAGGGGTTATATTTTTTTATATATATAATTTTACACAGCTTCTTGATGAGAAAAAATACCTTTCAAGCGAAGCAATGGCTTGGAAAGAATTATAAAAACTCCGCTCTATCAGAAACGGCAATCAAGCGTTGGTTTGCTGACTTCAAACACGGTCGTAGAGACAGCGGTGATGCAGATCGCAGTGAACGTCCAAATGAGGCACTAACACCAGAAAACATAAAAAAATTCCACAAAATCGTTTTGAATAATCGAAAAATGAAGTTGCGTGAGTTATCTGACATTGTAGAGATATCAAAAAAACGTTTTGGCATTAGATTGTATGAGCAATTGACTATGAGAGAAACCTCTGTTAAAAGATGATCATCTCGATTAGAAAGTACATTGTTCGAGTCTGATATCAGCGCTTCATTCGCAGTGCTATCTTCTGAAAAATTTGAGAACGGTACTTACACATTCTCAATTGCTGATGGTATATTAGGGGTATATGGTATATTAGGGGTATATTAGGTGTTTGTTTCTGGGGATGGTCAACCACGTCTCAGAAAGTTTTTATTGCACAAAAAAATCATCAGGTGCATCATGAATGTGCCAAGTACCGAGTAAATTTTTTTTCAACAAATATGAAATCTCAACACTTCCATCGTTATATATTTTTGATTTGTGTCTCTATATTTTCAAGAATAGAGATAGTTTTGTGAAGAATTCTGATATACATCAAGTAAATACTCGTTGTCAAAATCACTTCCATATACCAATTTGTAAAAATAGAGTACATTTCTGCTCTCCTGCTAATAATGACTTACGTGCATTTAATAAATTACCAAATGAATTGAAAAACTGTTCTTCGTTAATGACTTTCGAAAGCAACTCAAAAAATTACTTGTTACAAGATGTTTTCATTCAACAGATGAATTCTTTTCAGAAGATATCTCTATTTTTTAATATTTTTATTGGAAAAATGTTGATTATTGAAGTGAAAAGTGTCCAAGAAGGAGGAATAAGGTGTAAAGGTGACCTAGAGAATAAACGCTTGTTTTTAAATAGTTTATTTTGTGAAACAGAAGGCTGAAAAGTCACTTTTTTCTAAACTTTGAAGGGCCGTAACTTTGTAAATAAGGGAGAGCGCCGCCTTTTTCTTTCGGATTCGTAATCTACGCATCAAAATATGTAAATTCACTCAAACATTTTTTCGAAATCGCCGGGTGCCCTCAAAACGAAAATTTACCCTGGATTTTTTTTTACAAATCATAATTCCGATTACCCGTCCCGAAATAATAAAACCATTCTCAACTACATATTTATTGTTAAAATCAGGTAAACAGGCTTGATCTTCACAAATGAAATACACTTAAACAGTACTCATTAATAATAATAAATATTCTAAATAGGATAAATTAAGTGGAAAGTTTTGCAAAATAAAATCAGGGAAATAAAAAATATTGTCTTAATCATCTTAGATGCAAGACTATCACAGAAATACTTACCTAATAATAGTTTTATCACCAGACCACATCAGATAAAGATTTCATTAGGAACCATATACATGATAATATTTACTGGGCGTGACGTCACTTTTTCTTATATTCCCCCTGTGGATAATACAAGTTTTGGCCATCTTATTTTAGTTGCCGAAGTCAATGTTCTCTTTTCAACGGCCAATCCATATTTATCATTGCGTCACTGCTAGGAACACTTTTTCTTTTTATGAGTTGGCTGCACGTTGGAACACATGACACATATTACAACTGACTCTAATACAAATACATAGAGCAATCGACTCTGGAAAAATAGATGAATCCAAAAAATCCATATTGATATGAACAACATTATCAAAACTACAGTCAAACAGTAAAAATGCACATTAGAAACATTGTCTAAATATGACAACTGACAATTATGACACATAGGCACACAGAGTAGCCAGCATGAAAAAATAGATCTGCTCTAAAAGAAATCATTATCTGATAAGGTATATTCAAGCTATTTTCTCAGAAGAATAACTAGTTTTTCGATTTGAGAGTCCAAGGGTCAAATTTGACTTGGTGAGAAGTCCTCAATTGATCTTCATTTCCAGATATTTAACCGGTTTCTCGCTCTGAAACTTCTCAGTCGAACTGGTTCAAAGACAGGTTAGTCAGCTTAGTCAATGAGTCCTTCATATCGTCATCGTCGGAAATCCTTGAAGACAGTTGAAGCTCCGGCAACGGACATTGTGGGTCCACATTGCTCGCTAACATCTTTATTTCATCGCTGTCCAGGTTCATGGGATCTTTTTCAGGATTCAATGGGGACGGCGAATCCAATAAATTCTGTAGACACACGAACGATAAGAAAATAGCCAACATAACAATAAAGCGGATTGAAATATAAAGTAATGAACTGTAAACCAGTATAAATACTATTTCCAATGACGGATCTGAATGCAAAATGTTTCCTTACCTTAGCCTGCGGTTGTTCCGTGATATTGAGCGGGATATTGTGGTTCGACTGGTATGGATTGAGAGGGCCACTATATTGATGAGCTGAAACTATATTGAAGTTCAAAAATGGTTGTCTTTCAATTTTTCCGAATAGGTTTTTCAAAAGTTGAAAGGAACACGTAAGTTTTCTCTATGTTGTTCTTCTTAGTCGGAGCAATCCAAGTATAAGGTAAGATGGAAGTTTAGGGTAACTACCGCCAAATATAATACTTGAACGTTTTGTTATTGTTTAGCACAGTTTTTATCAACGAGATTTGACGAAGGCATACGTTCAAACTCAAACTAACATCGGAAAGGTAGGAATTGGTCGAAACGGCCTATTTGATAGATGAATCTCCATTAAAACCCAAGGTCTTGTATTCATTACTATAAACTCTGAATATTCATTCGCAATTCCCAATAGGGTATTGCGAAAAAAGTACAATATAAGAACAAAAGAAAAAACTTGACTTACTATCAGATTCCTGCATACTCCTCAAATTTTCCAATTTCTGTCTCTTCGGATTATGTTCCAATTCATCTGCAAATAAACAAGGAAAAGCAATTGTCAAAAATATTGAAAAAAACAACAAGAAATTTGCATCTATTCCACATATACTGCGTAGATTACACATATAAAATGTAGCTAGTTGCCATGGTTGAACGGGAGTTTGGTTTGGAAAAGCGTTTTGTTGAATTCACCCAGTAATGTTAAAAAAACGCAACTAACACAGCACATTTCATCTACTAAAATCCGTTTTCACTATTTCTGCAATTGATCATAATTCAGAGCGTTGATTTTTTGTGAGTGTCATACGAATTCAGCCATGAAAATATCAGCGAGTGGACTGTATTATTCATCGAAAAACATTTTGAGACCTCTAAGAAAATTACAATAATGCAACCCAAGATATCAAAAACTTGTCTAAAAAAATCAATATATGCCATGTACGACGTGGAAGGTGGCTAGCAAAAAAATACACAGGGTTTTATGACAGAACTCGTTAGGTTTATCTACTCGTCTATTCATCACGCCCAAATCATAACTCGGCAGAATTCTATAGCGTTCATCAAACTTACCTTCTCCGGTTATATTTTTTCTGATGGCCCACCGTCTGTTCGAATCTAGAAGGTGAGACGGCCACATTTCGAACGGCAAGGACTCGCTCGTGACGCCATCTGACGGTCTTCGAAGTTGAATGAAAACCTGAACTGGCCTTGGGAGGTGTACGAATTTATATCTTGGCGTCATAAACCAAATTGCGTATTGCTTATGTACTTGAGAAGGGTGAAGTTCCGCAAAGACTTCCCACTTGCTGTATGGATCATAAAATCGGACCTGTATATCCTCTTTCACAACCTGAAACAACCATAGACAAAATTGGGTAAGGTAACTCTCAAATTATTTCAAATTCATTAGATTCAGCCACGCAGGGCTATCTTTGCCTCTGATCTGGGCGATTTATCGTTTGAGCGAATGCATTTGCTGACCTGTTCAGGAGGAGCTTGTGTCATCTCCTGATGATGTACGCAGATAAGTACGATATCCGCTTCTTGGCTGAATAATCTGGCTTTCTAAAGTTGGTAACAGGCCCACGAGCTGTTAAACCGAGAAACTCTTGGTCTAATGTTACAAGGCAATTGAGGTCCTCTCCTCAAGGTAGAATTGTTTGGATACTTCATGGTCCATAGAGAGTCCCACGAGGAGCTTGGGGGAGATCTGTCACGGCCTAGTCACGGCACGTCATTACCGTAACAAGGCTATCTATGGCGAGAGAGTGTGTCAAAGATTCCATTAGTGATATTTCAGGATGAGCAGTCATTTGGGAGGAATTTTATCTCCACAGGTACTTCACCCAAGCGGGGTATTATAACACACTGATAAAATAGTAAAGGTCGCTGAAGACATGTTAGGAGTCAATGACAACCTCGCAATGCAAATGATGAGTTCCGAAGTGGTCGACCTACAGTAATCCAGGATGAGGATTTGAGGACCCTGAGAGAAACTGATCTTTCACAAACGCTCAGTGCTAAATTTAGGCCAAGGCTCACGAGGCCCAGACCTAGGGCGCATGCTTTGAGGGGCTGCAAAATTTTTTAAATACCAACATTTTGAAGTCGCTTCGTTTCTGAGATACAGGGCGTTGAAGTTTTAAACAACAGGTATTTATAAAATATCATAGTTTATCTGAAATAGATACAAACGAATTGGAAAATCTTGCCAATAAACTTGTCAATAAGTACCCCAACGATTTAGAAGAGACATTAGGGAAAGAATCACACGTTGAAAGGTAAGACCTCGTTAGTCCTTACCCTTAGCTCGCACAAGTTTTCATTTCTGAGGGTTGTCGTTCGTAGGGGTGCAAAAAAAACATGCAATTCACGGACTCTTGGAGATGTTTACCCAAATGTAGACATTGTATTACGTATTTTTTTGAGTATTACGGCTACAAATTGTTCAGGAGAAAGATCTTTTTCTACTTTGAAAAGAGTAAAAACCTATTAACGTGCAACTATGGGTCATGATAGACTTAATGATCTATTAAAGTTCAACTTTAAGAAATTGATTATGACGATATAATTGATATTTTTGCGTGGAACAAAGCCAGAAAAAGGAAAACTGTAATGTTCATTAGTTATATTTGAAAATTATATTACAACGATATAAATGGAATCAATGAAGTCGCCCCGGAGCGCCAATTAATTTTTGTTGTTTCATGATTTCATGATTTGCATTATTTTAAAAGTGTTAATCGGATTATGATTATTATATTTTAGCAACAATACTATTGAATCAAAATTAATAAAATTGACACTAATATTTGTAACAACCTCGATCTTAGTAAAAAAGGTTGTTACATTCTTTGGGCTGGAATTTGAATGCCGGGGCTCATCGGAGAGGCATGCTGGGTAAAAGAATTTTCAACTGAGAATAGTATAATATGTATATTCGACAATGTAGACGGATGTGAAGATAGTCACTACAAACTTGTGGCCCAGAAGTATATTTTGGGTCACAGTGATATAAGGTAAGTAACCTTCGTTGGTCGCAAACTTATGAATTAATCACGGTTTTCCCTTCAGCATCCAAGTTGTACCCTTTATTGCCTGTGACAGATTTTGTTTGGTTCCTGGGTTCTATGTCTGGTACAAATATATGGGGAAAGATCTTACTTGTCATGGAGTGTACGAATAGCTAAGTCGAGCTGCCAGCAATACGATATAGGTTCTTCGTAAGTGATTCAGCCAAACAGTAACAATAATTCCAAAAGATAGCCTGCTCTTGGAGTGGTATGAATGTCACCCTTTCAACAATGTTGACATTACTAGATGATTTCTGATGTAGGCTGCCGGAGGCAGAATAAGATAGATTGAGGGTGGAAAATAAAAAGACCGTAGATGATGAATGGCCTTACTAGATTAGATTATTACATTAAATTTTGTCAAATTTTGGTTAATCTCTTTGTTCTTTTCAAGGGCTCATCCTTTCAATCTTGTCTCAAAAGCGAACAACACCGACTACAAGAACGGTATCTGCAAGGTAAAGGTTGACACCAACGAAAACTACGGGGTAATACAGTTCAAAAACATGGGGGTCCAGTGTGTCAAAAGAAGAGGAATGTCTGCATCGTTGGAGATGAGGCAAGCAATGCGAGTGGATCCCTTCAAAAGTGAGTTCATCAACTCATTTGTTTACAGAGTGATTAAGAAATTATTGTACCTGTCGCCATTCAGTTGTTTGTAGAAAAATACCTGAAAGGTATTAGTTCATTGAAACCGATATCTCTAACGATTAAACAATTGAAAGTCCATTATTATCACAGGAACTCTTATAGGGTCTTTCAACAGGAAGTTCCGAACTTTGACAATTGATAACTGCCATCTTGTTGACACTACTTCTGTCAAATCTTCTGGTTTGCCAAATCACCATAGACGGGTATAGCATTCAACATAGTTTCCTTTTAGCTCTACACATTCCTGACAGCGATGTTCCATCTCTGTATCCCGTTCAAATAGTACTCGGTGTTTTTCCCTGCAGAATAATTGTGCGCGACGGTGATTGCCTCTTCATTTGACAAAAATCTTTGTCCTCCATGCCCAATTTTTAGATGAGGAAATAGAAAGAAGTCGCTTGGGGCTAGATCTGGTGGGTAAGACGGATGGTCAAGCAGTTGAAAACATAATTCGTGGATTTTTGCCATGGCAACCGCTGAGGTGTGAGACGGTGTCTTGGTGAAACATGTTTGTTTTTCTGAAAATGTAGCCGTTTTTATGCAAATTCTGCCTTCAGCTCGTCAAGTAATGATGCTTAGTATGCTTCTGTAATGTTTTTTTTTGAAATTATCGATTGAAAGAACTCTATGATTATTCCAAAAAACAGTCGCTATCACTTTCCCAGCAGAAAAAAACAGTTTTTGCTTTTTTTGGAGCCAGTTTCTCCTTTGCTGTCCACTGTTTGGACTGTATTTTTCTTTCGGACGTATAATGGTGTATCTAAGTTTCATGCATAGTAATTTTTCGGCGCCAAAACTCGGATTTATTGCGCCAACATAGCGTTGGAATGTTCATGCGAATACATAGTCTAACATGAGCAAACGCGCGGACATCTTTCTCATACCTAATGTTGATTAAATATGTGACAAACACGTTTTTTTTATATGTTTATAACCTCTACTATCTCTCTCACTTTAATTCGGAGGTCGTTTAGCATCATTTAGTGAACTTTTGCGATGTTTCTGTCGGTAGTTGCAGTTTTTAGACGTCCCGAACGTATCATCGTTTCTCAAGCTCTCACAGCGACATTTAAATTCAGCTGCCCAAAATTTTACTGTGGTAAATGATGGTGCAGAGTCCCCATGCACAGAATGCGACTCATCATTGATTTGCGGAGTCGTATTGCCTATCAAAAACAAATATTTAAGGACAGATCCATACTCGATTTTGTCCATTTTCATAAAAATACATCAACTCAGTCAAACGACTGTTACATAACAACTGCGCGTTTAAAATGGCTGAAACTTTAGTGAGTAACTGCCAATAGGTGAACAACGAAATTCACTAGCTTTTATTTACGTGTGCTGCCATCTTTATGTTGAGGTCGGAAACTACCGTCTTATATATCTCTCCTCAATTCAACCTATAACAACCTCGTCAATTTCAACCTATAAGAACAACTGGTATGAAGTAAGATACTATTGAATGAGGTATCAGAACATCTAGATCACATCACAGCACACATCAAATAATGACTTTCCCAGCGAATTTTGTGATACCTTGGTGGAAATCTCTAGTTTCTTTGAAAATTAAATGGAATCCGTATAACTATCTGATGATGTAGCTTTCTTTCCATATGTGAAATAATTTTTTGTGGTTTATATTCCATCACGAACGATCATACGAAAAATCAAGTCATTTCTCTTCATATTAGTTTCAATGAAACAACCCAATGGTTTGTATTTTTCAGCTGGATTCGCTCACAAAAACGACTCTTCAGCTGTCGATCTGGTCTCAGTGAGATTGTGTTTTCAAGCGTTCCTCGAAGGCGACACTCCCGGAAGATTCGACGTTCCTTTGAAGCCTGTTATCAGTGATCCCATATACGACAAAAAAAGAGCGTGCGATCTCAAAATAGTTAAACTGTCAGATTGCGTCAGTTCTGTTGCGGGTGGAAGAAAAGAAATTATTTTGCTGTGCGAAAAGGTGAGTCAACTGTTGATCATCGTGCTAAAAAATTTCGCTACATTCAATTGTTTTTTATTCGTAATCGTCAGTTGATCAGTTTTTTCACAATGGAGAAAAAAATGTTCCTTAAATCTATAATTGTTTTTTCTAATAAACACTCGTGTTCATACCAATTAATGATTTCAAAGGACTGAAAATTCTCAATATCATTTTGACCAGAGTATCATCATTACAAACAAAACAAATCAATGTTATTTTTATTAAAAAATTACCTTTTTCTACGGATGCTATACAATGTGCCACTTCTCTCATCGCTTTCAAACATTCAAAACAAAAGATTTCTCAAGCAGTGAGAAATATCCGCCATTACAGTAAAAAGTCATTTCTCACTGTTATCAAGATAACTCAGTCAGTCATGAATTGTTATATGTAAGATTGATATGACACGTTCTCTATGTTGACAACGCTACGCCGACGATTCGCGTGCAATATCCAAGTAGCCCGTTGTCGGCGTTTCCATAACAACAAAACACAAGCACTGCATAATTATTGCTGTCAGCTTACTCAGCATAGCTCATTCGAAACATAATTCTGTTTAAATAATTAATTTCAATCATTATAGATTGCCTATAGCTGATTTTATCAACTTGGCGAACCTAACCCGAAATTCCTTTTTCTCACACTAAGCTATTACCCTGATCCTTTCAGGTAGTGAAGGAAGATATCCAGGTGTGGTTCCATGAGGAGAACAGCGACTGGGAAGCTCAGGCAGACGTTCAACCTTCACAGGTCCACAAGTCGTTCGCCATTAGTTTCAAAACTCCGAAATATAGAACTGTGAATATCACAGAACCTGTAAAAGTCTTGATTCAACTTCGGAGACCTTCGGATGGCTCGACGAGCGAATCATTGCCCTTCCAATTTTGGCCGGATCAACTTCTAGAACCAGGTAAGTGTGGAGATCCTTGAAAGAACTGACTGAAACATTAATTTTGTTACGTTTTTCCCCGCGGGTTGACCAATAATTGACTACAGTGAATATTCAAACTTAACTTTATTTCACTTTAAACACAACAAACACTTCAACTAAAACTTCAAATATTATTTGATTGTCTATCGCCTTACTAGATCACTTTGCGTACCGCACTGTAACGTCCATTTGGCTGTGTCGATATGCTCGCAGCTAGCGTTTAAATTAATCGAATGCCGTATAATTTGGCGGGAGTTCTGTCGAAATCGGTAGTATTATTCTCGCTGCTTCTCTACTGGCGGGGAATCATCGTGTATTCGCGCTCCCTTAGTTACGTCACGTTTGGTTTATGGTTACCAGTGGCGGCTGGCGTTATTTTCTTTCGGGCATGATTTGCAACAATATTCACTGGTATAGGCGTCATGAGGTCTACTTAGAAATGAACGTTATGTAATGATTTCTCTAGTTCGATAAATCAATCAATCCATTTTATATTTCAGAACCATTGAAGCGCAAAAATAACAAAATAGCAAAAATGGAGGAGCTGAGGATATTGCAACAAAATGCAAGTAAGTGTTCTTTAACTATCAACGTATGGAATTATAACTAGGTATAAATTACATAAGACTTCACCTCATCTTTTCCAAATAAATCCAATATTCAATTCAGTTAGTAGGTAGTTACAAAGTAGAGAAATTATGGAAGTTAAAACCAAGGGAATAGCATAGTATTCATATATTTTCTCAGGTTACACTACGCCCAACGATTTTGTTACTTTTTCAAACGATTTCATTATTTTTTTATTTGATAATAAAAGCAAGAATTTGAATTGGCCGCGTGTCTGTAGACCAATAAAATTGATCGTGTCCAGAGCGGAGTTGCCAAGTGTATTGGTTTTTAATATCCTCCAATCACAGATCTGATGATCTAATTTGACAGACGCCATCTTTGTTGTTTACTGTGTGTGAAAACAACTGTTACAATTATCCAATTTGAGAACGTTTTTTTGGTGAAAGGTATAAAAATGNACCACCTACCGTTTCAATTTTTCATTCTTCATTTCGGTACCAAAGTATTGCAAATTTTTCAAGTAAAATTCATCGATCACTTCAAAATCGACTCTTGGTAAGTTGTTGGAGTCAGCTTTAACAAAACTAGGCTCAACATTCATTTTGAAAATATTTTAACAAAAATAAGAAATTATGTGTAGAAACCATTGACATTAGAAAGAGCACATTGTCGCATTCACTACAGAAGGCGCTGGCTGACAATGTGGCTAATATACCAGTAATGTTGAATTTCTTATTTTTGGTGGGTGGCATGAATGCATAATCGATTTATTTTATTAGGGTTCATGAACATTCGAAAACCATTTGAAAATACAGCTCGTTAAATTCTATTCAGAATCATATTTAGATATAACTTGTACTATATCAGTTTTCAAGGGCAAATATTATTGTCCATTTTTATGCCTAATTCGTGGATTCGAGCGATCTCATTATTGTATATTAACTTGTTTACTGGCTTCATTTTTCATTAATTGAAACGTTAACTGAAACAAAGTGCACTATAAACCAAAAATTCTGTTTTTTATCTTTCTTAGTGCATAACTAAAGTCTATTTAATAATTTTTGACGAAACTTCAAAAATTACATTTTCAATTATAAATTTGCAGGTGGAGGAATGTTTCCGAAGAGTTTTTTCGACACCAGTGGTATGAAACCGGAACAAATACAAATAGGTAAAACATTCCTTTTAGTTGCATACAAACTCTAACCGTTCCTATTCGTCTGTATTTCTAGGTCCACCTTCCATACCAAAGCAATTTTCTGGGAGTCCTGATGAAGAAAGAAGTTCAACGTATACTCCAAACATCATATTGGACTTGGATCCTTCCACTTCATGTTCAAATCGAGTTCTCACTCCAAATATCATCACTTCTCAAAGTGAGGTAAGGAGTAGATTTCTATGTGGAGATTTCGTAAGAAGCGAGTTGTCAAATTCAATAAAATGCAATAAAAATGAAACGATTTGCTCGCTTAGTAGTTGGAAGGTCTCCAAAGATGAATGTTCTGTGACATTTACAGTTTTATATTTGGGAGTTTTGAAACTGATTGCCAATGCTTTATGGATCTGCCAAGGTTGAACATCTGCTTTTGCTCCCCAGTCGTTGTTCTCTTCATGGAACCACACCTGGATATGTTGTGTTATTACCTGTAAGGATCAGGGCAATAGCCTCAGTGCGGGAAAAAACATTTTAGGTTAGGTTCGCCAAAATAAAAAAAGGGCTGATACTAACAGCAATAGACATGTTCTTGAAGTCAACAGACCATTTCTGATGGATTTCCTCAACAAATAGAAACGACCTAACGTTTCGAGTGGACCACTAAGGAAATCCATTGGATCATCGGTGAATTTAGGAAATCGTCTAAGGTGTTGGCATTGCCTTTTCAATTGCTTTCCATTCTCATTTTTTAGGATGATCTCTACTAGCCAACAGCTAAAGTTGAATGTAACTAATTTCCGTTTCAAAACCATTTATTCAATAGGTCTATATGGGCGACATAATTAGGGTAAAAAATATATCTTGGGTACCGCGAGGATAAGTACTGGGACCTGTTATATTTCTTATATATTTCAATTCTTTGGTTACAGTTAATTCATTTCGTGAATATTATAAATGATTGCTGATGACACCACTTTAATTTACAATAGAAATAGTGTACAAGAAACCAAAATTAATATTTCAAAACACTGATCAAATATCTTTAAGGCTGCAGTGCCATAAAATGACACTGACTTTTCAGAAATCTTCATATATGTTCATATCAAAAATTTCAGTTGATGTAAAAGACTCAATTAAATTCCAGGATAGAAATATTGAATTCTCTCCTAGTGCCAAATTTATTAGTCTCTTTCTTGATGGAAACTTACCACGGAAACAACATTTCGAAACAATAAAAAATAGGTGCTACAATTGGAATTTTATTCAAAATAGGCAATTTTGTACCACGTTTTTCATTAGTTTATTAAAAAAATCAATATCCAATATCAATAATGGTAACAAATTCCTTATTGAAATCAATTGAAAAACTTCAAAAAATAAAATTATAAAGTGTATAGTTGAACCACAGTCCTCTTGTATAAAACAATAAAATATTGGATTTGTCATCCTTACCTACATTCAAATAATGTACCTCGATTCATTTGATCAAAAATAAGCTCAAACATTCAAATCTGACTTTCAAACTTTCTGCTCCAATCTATGTGATGACCATATTCACATAAAAATGGATATTTATGTTTAGATCCTTCAATTGTTAGCAATACTGACATTTGACATATTATATTATTAAGAAGAAGACATGTTAAACTTTTGAATTTTGCCGCGATCAATCAAATGTGATTTGATTGGTCATATCGCACTTGGTGCATTTGAAGTGAAACTCGAAAAAACAACAGACAATAAATGTGTGATCAATAAAATATTCATTATGACATTGATTCCGAACATTTTGGGTTTCTACCTCCCCATGAATAAAAACAAAGAACTTCTTTGCTTTATAATATATGCCAGTGTTGCCAAACATACAGTCAATTGGTATCTGATTTTCATGAAAACCCACTTCTCTATTTCGAAAGACGCTGAAATAACTGTGACCTAACCTTTTTTTTTCTCTCCAGATGTGGTATCAGCCCATTTCTCCACCATCAGCTCAGCCGTCCACATCCTCCAATCAGCAATGGAACATTCCTAAGACAGAGATCCTCATCCCTCAAAGAACCGCAGACTTCAAAAGCAGCTCTAGGAAAAAGGAAGAGAATGCTTTCGACCGCAGAAACATGAGGAGGTTGAACACTTTGCCAAATATCAACCTGATATTCCCGAACATGAACATCATTAGTAATCAATTTAATGAATCTCAGTTCGAGTCAAACAGGAAATAACTTGCTATCCTAGTCCCTCTATACTGGGTCTTGGGTGAAGTAGCTTTTTCAGCATATGAAAGAGCTTTGGATTGTTGCAGTGGACGTTTTTTGTTATTTATTTGGACGATTTGAACCGAGAAGTAGACGAGTTCTTAAAATCACCGACGCCAACTACCAAATTTTCTGTTGAATAAAAGACTTCGCCTAGAAGTGCAAGCTCAACATGTTGTGAACCTTAACCAGAAATGTTACTTATGGATTACTGCTGTGATTGATTTTTGATGGTGATATTTTTAAAAGTTGTTGATATCGAGAGCAAATTCTCGCTGTTGTTTCATATTGAATTTTTGTAGAGACTTTTTATAAATTGA